GATCAACTTGACAGTAATTGCTTCTGTTGTTCAGCTCAGCAGCCCTCAAGATCAAGCCCCAGGAATGGAGGGGCCATCCACCAGGTCTGGTCAAGTACACTCAGGTCTTGGCCTGCAGGCATTGGAGGAGAAATGGCTCACTGTGGCTACCTTGGGAAGCCTTTCCTCTGTCAAAAAGGCAGTGCCAGCCTGTTCAGACACATGTAGTACCTCCAGGAAGCATGCTGAGAAGCACCTATGGGCCTACTCTAAATAGCAATGGTGGAACAATGGTTAAGGTGTTTGACTGCTAATCACAAATCAGAGGTTCAAGCCCACGTCTTGAGTGGAGGAGGCAATCTGCTTCTGTCAAGACTTATGGCCTTGGAAACCCTAAGGGGCAAGTCTGCTCTGTCTTGTAGGAATGCTTCAAGTTCCAAGTGATTCAATTGCAATGGGCTCGGTTTTGTTTGGTCTATGCCTGTCTGGCTAGCTGACTCGGTACCAACACCCAGCAGTCAAGAAATCAAAATATGAGTTGCATTGAGAGAAATGTGTTGTCAAGGACCTCTCCAAGGTGTTAAGGTGTAATGATGTCAGTTCAAAGACTAAAGTGCACCCAACACAAGCTGTAGTCTTTTCAGTTACTTGCTATGTAGCTTAAAGTTGTACAATGAACAAGGATCACAGAAGAACTGATGCCTCTGAGTTGTACTGGATGGAGAAAGTACTGAATAGCCCATGGACTGCCAAAAGAACAAATTCTGGAAAAATTGCAGCCAGGGTGCTCCTTGGAGGCAAAGATAGTAAAGCTTTGCCTCACACAATTAGGGCACATTGTTAAGGAGGGGCCAGACCTTGGAATGAGGCAGCGTACTTTGAAAGGTCAGTGTAGGAGAAGACGATGTTTAACAAGCTGGGCTGACACAGTAACTATCAACAATGTGCTTAAATATATCAGAGGCGATGAAGACGGCACAGGAGAGTGTACAATTCAGAGCCGTTGTTCGCAGGGTCGCTGTGAGTCATACATAGTTGACTCAGTGGTACCTAACAGCAGCAGGTGGATTTGATGAACCAAATCAGAAAAGCTGGGTCTACACAGTAGAAAAAGGTAGGCAGAAAGCCAAAAGGACTACTTTAGCGTACTGAGAACGTGCCACTGAAAGGCCACATTTCCCATGCTGTCGTTCAGAGGCCCAGTTCTGCCTTCTTGTCACCATGCATATTGCTATCAAGTCAATAGAGTAATGGCAATCCCATGTGTGTCAGAGTGCAGTTGTGCTCCATAAGGTTTTCAGTGGCTGACTTTTTCAGGAATAGATCACTAACACAGCTCTGGGTAAATTCGAACCTCCAACCTTTCAATTACCAGCTGAGCTCCTTAGTCCCTCATCCCTACCGACGACTATGATGGACAGGGAAAAAAAGGACAAAGACCTGCTCAGCCTATTCACATGGCTTAGGGGCATGCCACGCTCTCATTTCTGTCAAAATGAGGTCCGGTACTCACACTCTCGATTCTGCCAAGCTCTTGGAAATGCTCTGAGGAAATGTAGGAATCCCAGAATATAGTAAGCGAAACATGACTCTTAATCCTGCATAAATGAAAACTGTCCTTGTCTCCTCTGTGCATTCACTTCATCACAGAAACACTGGGCAGATTTGCACATGGGCACAGAAGAGTAATCTTACTCCATAATACTGTTTCTTTTTTTTTTAAGATGTTCCCTGGCAGAAAGAGAGCATGAGGGTGGGGGACTGGGCAGAAACAATGCCTAGGATTGAACACAAACTCATTCTGCATACTAGAGGGACAAACAGTCCGATTTTCAACTCCTGGCCAAGCCAGCAGCTGCGAGAAGTTGATAAGGATGTAGCAGTGGGTTGAAGCAGGGAAATGCACACGCTGGAGCTTTTGAAAGGGGTTGGATTTAAGAAACAGAAAAGGAAGCACCTCCTTCTGCTTTTTACCTTCCTTTTGCAGTTTCTGTGAATTTTACAGAATCACAGATGGCTTCTAATTGCGTTGCATCACCACGTCTTTAAGCATCCTATCACTCTTGTCAATTTGCAAATGTCAACACCTACTACACACATTAGCATTTGAGTTGTGGAGGGAAGAGAGACAATTGTGTTGTACTGTCCCACAAGAGAGGCATCCACAGCTCCCACTCCGACTTCTGTCCTGGTCTATGCCTGTTAGATGTCAGGGCCAGGGCTCCATTATACAGTTTGAAAAAGATGGTGCCATCTCCCTGTAGAAGCTTGGTGGCTGAGAATAAGGTGGTCCCATATCCCCACTCTTTTCCCCCTGCTCCCTCTCACCCTGCCCACCCCTGGGGTGGGGCTAGGGTGGCCAGGTCTCCAGGTGAGTTGTTCATTCACAACTCTACCATGGGGGTGGTGCAGATAGTCACCAGCCAAATGAATGGCAGTCTGAACCCTCTTGGAGGTGCCCCAAAAGACAGGCTTAGGGATCTGCCCTACAAAGGTTACTTTAAAAACTGGATGGAGTAGCTCTGCCCTGCACACACTGGCAACTAACAACCACAAGGGGCTGCATGGCCTTCTGTAAGGGTTGTTAGGGGCCTTTGGTATGACTGAGTTAGATGCTATGGATCCTGTACCACCTTCATGATAGCTGATGTGTCTGATCAAGGCAGCTGTGTTTCTTTAGGATGATATGTTTTCAGCAGATGCAGAACATGAGAACAAGGTAGTGGGTGGTGTGTGTGTGTGTGTGTGTGTGTACGCACACATGCATCATTTTTACAAAGGCACCATTCAAGTCAGGGATGGGGCCTGACAATAAAGCCTTCACGAATGCCATGCCTACAAGGCTGATGCCAAGGGCCCAGCTCCTGGCAGCCTGGGTTGAGTGCAGGGAAGACCAATGGACTCCAGGAAATGTAAACAGCCGTATTTTCAACATAATTTACTACTGGTCTCTGAAGTGTATATAAAACATTTTAGTGCAACATCTTACAAATAGTTTTCTTTTTAAAAAACAAAAACAAATCAATAGCTCTCTACATCATGCATTGGTATAACTTCTCCCATCTCCTTTTGTTTAATAAACAATTAACGCAGAGAAACCATTGCTTGAAAAGAATATGAAAACTTTTTTTAAACACCCTGGTGAAGGAGGTGTGGTCATATCCATGTCTTGGGATGGGCCTAGCACAGTGTAGTTTTAGTAAATGCGACATTGTAGCCGTGGAGAAGTCAAGAGTGTGTGCAGCAGTTTTCTTCTGGCCCCAGAGGATGAATGCACCAGCAGACAACTGCAATGGGGTATCGCAGCCACCAGAGGGCCCCATTACCAATCATCTGGCACACCTCATTTCCATTTTCATTCAAATGGCCAAAGAAAGAAATTCCTGGGGCTTTTCATAGAAAGCTGGAAAAGCTCAACCTTTGATGCAGCATCCCCAGTCCAATAGAAAATACACAGGAAAAGAAATGTATTAAAATACTGGCTTCGGTTTCTTCTTTCAAATTTCCTGCAACTGTTCCATGGAGTGATGCACGGCCACTCCTTTTCTACGACTGTGAACCAACAGAAATGCAGATCACAGTTACACATTCCAACCCATCCAGTCCGTCCCCTGGCATTTTTCCATCCAGACAAAGGAAAAATAAGTCATCTTTTTTTTTTTCTCTGACTCAGTTTAAAAATGAGAAGTCAGCTCTTTCTCACTGGAAGCTCACACTCCTGAAATGAAGAAACAGGGCAAAAAAGATTGCTCCTCTCCTCTGTGCCTTGGACGTGTTGCTGCAGCATAGTCATTAAGAATGAGCCTGTTAGGCACCACAGGATTAAGGAGGAGGTGCCCCTGCGCTGTCTCAGCTGGGTACTGGAGAATCTGAGGAGAAAAACGAGGTGAGACTATGACACTTCAGGAAACGGTGGCTGAGCAACAGCTGTGGGTCCAGAGTATGTGGCCCACTCTAAAGCCTGTACACTTTCAGACCCCTAACAAGGACCCAAGGAGTCTTGGCTGTACAAACAGTTAAGTACAGGGCTGCTAGCAGGAAGGTCGGCTATTTTCACCCCTACCCAGCGGCTCCACAGGACAAAGATGTGGCTGTCTCTTCCTATGAAGACTACATCCTAGAACACTCTACATTCAAGGCAGCTCTACTCTGTCACAAAGGGATCAGTGAGTCAGAATCGGTTTTCATCACACACCAAACCACCACCAGGAATCATGGCCCACTGGGCTTGGGGAGGCATGCTGCGGCCCCCCACCCCTAGTCTGTTCAGTTCCAGAATGCCTGGTGGTTTCCCCCCAAATTGGGAGCTCCTTTGGGACTCACGTAAATTCACAAAGGTGGCTACACCATACTGTTGGCCAGCAGAACATGGGGAAACGAGCATAAGACACAGTCATGGGCTGAACAAATTATATTGCTCCCAGGTAGCCAAGCACCTTGTCCAATAATGTCAAATAATGGGGGTAGGCAGCAGGGACCCCAGATGGGCTTAAGGGGCACTAAAGTAAAAAGCTACCATAACAAGGAACAACTAAGTAATCTAAAACCACACACAAGATCCAAGAAAGGGAAAGGAAAAAAACCCCACAGATACTGCCACATGGTTACTTTGTGGGGAGAGGAGGTAAGTTGTACAGATGATGAAGGGGCTGAGACTGGACCTCCCTGCTCTGATATTCTTATGGCTGGGAGACCTGAGAGAAACAAATGATGAATGGGGGAAATGCTAGTATTTTCTAGGAAAGTCAAATTGGAAGGAGGAAGGAAATTTAAGTCTTTATATCACAGGGAGGTAGTTCTGCCTCCAATGCCAGGCCCTGGAGACCTCCCTGTCCCCACTCTTCTTGGAGCCTTCCTGGGGTGACTACAGTGGCTGCCTCGGCCTGTGTGCTCAGCACAGTGCCTCTTTCAGCTCACTGGACACTTTCCCTATGAGTTTGGCAAAGCACCTGAAGACAAAGCCCACCCGCACACCACTCTCAGTGAGCCACTGCCCTCGCAGAACCGATCAATCTGAAAATCAGCTGCTGAATACAGCTCTCTGCCCACTTCGGCTCCGAAGCGTGTGCTGTCTGAAGCTTGTGACCTGTTCTCTGAGAAAGTTTTCTTATTTTTTTTTTCTTGGCAAGGTTGAGATGAAGCCTTTTGTGCCTCCTGGACAGACAGGCTGGCCGGCAGGGTCCACTCCTGCTGGGGTTACGCAGCATGTCCCTTGTACACACACAGCTCTTTGAAGCAGAGTTCGACACTTTCATCTTGACTACAAAGTGGTTTCAACAACTCTGGCTGAGAGGAAAGATAAAATACAAACTGGGTTCAACACTACACATAATTTTCAAGTTTCATTATGAAAAGTAAAAAAAAAAAGTTTGGGTGTGTTCTGAAACGTGGGTGGCATTTTCAAGTGTGCAAAACCCAAACAGCTTGGAAGCGATTCCTGGCCACCATAAAGCTCCTCCTTCCTTTTGTGATTGGTTATTTGTGAAGAGATTGTCCACGACATTACGAAATCCAAATGGGTAAACCCATGGGCTTTAAAAAGAGTACATTACAAAGAATAAGAACCCCTGTAACATCTAGCTGAGAATACTATATAAATCTGTGAGTAGACGAGGCACCTGGAGCTACTCACTACATTACCAAGAACAAAACAAGAAACCTATAACGGCAGCATCACGACATCTGTGTGCAACAGCGAACCAACCAACCGCCAGCTGAAGGCAGCCCGTCTCTGTGACTCATCGGAAACTTTTCAAACTTGTCAAGTCTGACCATTTTCTGCGTGGGCACTCCAGAGTTTGAGTGCTGCCAACTGTTCGATCACAGAGAAAGAGGGAGTGAGGGGCAGCCCCAACCCCTCCACGGTGGTGTCCAAAGGGGGGCCTCCTCCTTAGTCTATGGCTCCCGGGTGGATACTGAGCACAGGGGGCTCCAGGCAGGTGGGGGAATAGTTGAGGTGTGGTTCCTTGATCCACAACAGGGGCACCCCGTTCTTCCCTTCCGAGTTCTTGCTGGAGTTCCGGCTCTTGAAGCGCACCAGCAGGATGGTGATGATGAGGATGCCAAAGATGGGGAAGGGGTAGAAGAAGATGAAGTAGAAGAGGGCGTCATTGGAGCAGATGATGGACTGGAGGGTAGAACCTGAAAAGACAAGACAATGAGGGCTTTCTTCCTGGAGACCCTGCCCAACCCAACGGAGGCCCCTCACAGAGCCCCTGCCCCAGCCCACCCTCCCGCTATCACCGATGGTGGGCAGGATACTTATTCTCATAATGTTCCGGCTTTCAATTCTAACACTGTTGGAAGCTCAAACCAAGTAATGCTTTCACTTTCTGCTGTGAGTCATTATTCCTACTTGGAAAGCCTACAATAAAGTGTAACTTATTGACTGTGAACTGGACTGCAGCTGCGGTGATAAAGATGCTGCCCCAGTCCTGCCTGAACTCCCTGTCTGGTTAGATCTCGGGCCCTCCACACCCAGTTCTGCTGCAAACACCCTTCTTTAGAGATAATCAGACCCCATCCCCAGCCCCTGTTCCTGATGAACACTATGAACTAAAATACTGTACTGCCCATTTTCAGATATCCATAGTGCACCTGTGGCTGCAAAACCCCCACAGTGTTAGCTCTACCTAGAAATAGAGGATAAAGAAGCCAGGCATGTGAAATCCCAGGCTGAGGACACTCTAGGATGTGCTAGATTTCAGCCACTGCCCAGGAGGGGAGAACTTGCACTCTCTTTGTAAAACAAGGCTGCTGATGGCAATGGCCTCTAAGTGCTATTAAGCTTAATAAGCATAGGTGCCCATGATGGGCAGATACAATGCAGTCTAATTCAGTAGATTGTTAGCTGTTCTGTGTATATTTTAGCTTTTAGCTTCTGTGTATATTTTAGCTTTTAGCTACTCTATCTTTTACTGCATAGCTGCATAGCTGCTGATCAGTATTTTTAAAGAAAACTTAATACCCACTCCACCTTAATAGATTTCTGAAGTATATGAAATTACTGATAGTGAACCAGTCCTAACCCACAAAAATTCAATTTCATGTAGTTTTATCTAATATAAATATAAATATGAGGTGCTCAAGGAAAAGAAATGCTGACATAATGTGAACCAAGCTTACTGGGCAAAATGTGTGAACCTAAAAAGAAGTTCAAAATATAGGAAAAAATTTGCATTATGGGCTGCAACTACTACTAGGGAACTCTCATGGCCTAGTACATAAGGAGTTGCACTGCCAACCCAAAGGAAACTGGTTTGAATTCACTAGCTGCCCATGGGAGAAGGATCCATGCAATTTAAAGCCTCTGAAAACCCAGAGGAGGTTCAGCTATGAGTCAGTTTTGACTTGATGGCACAAAACAACAACAATTAATAATAAGTACCATTTTCAGTCTGATGCTTTCACATTCTGCTGGAAGCATGTTATGTTAGAACAAATCATTCAGGCCAACAAGCCTCTGTTCACAGGAAAATGAAAACGTGTTCAGAGCCACTCTGTGGCAGCAGGAAATAATGAACTAGACTATAGATAAGCTCTTTCCAGCTCTCCAGCCATTGCTACCCTTCTAGAAATGTCTTTCCAACTGACTCTGCAAACCTACCTGAACCTCAGAGTCAAGCTATACAACAAACCACACTGCAAAATGACCCAGGAGCCTCAGAGTATGGTATTGGGAGACTAAGATTCCATTTTTTCCTTCTTTTCTGTGATTCTAAAGCACTTGATAATTCACTACAGAGAGACCATGACTCATACTCTCCCTGCTATCAAGTCAGAACGACTCATAACTGACCTTCCAGGAGGTTTTCAGAGGCTGTAAGTCAACACAGGAAGAGACTGCCCATCTTTCTCTTGTGAAGCCACTGGTGAATTCGAACCCCCAGAGAGGAGCTGCCTTTAGGTTAACAACACACCTGCCCCCAAGCACTATGCCACCAGAGCTCTCCTGCTTGGAGAATGAAATCTAACCATAACAGAATCGAGAAGACCTTTCAGCCCATTACAAAGATTATATGGAATAACATACATTTTATTTCTATCCTGACTTGCTGTTCGAGTGACCAAAGAGCAAGCACCATGAGTTGGCTCCTAATACTTACTCCTATGAATAAATACTCATGATAGTTAAGACTGCTGCTTATTTACCCACAATCAAGCTTGGGATTTCCCTTCTAGACAGACTTGGAGGCAACAGTGACATCCTTTCTCTAGAGGTGGGACAGACTCACTTGTGTCCAGGACGCGGATGCCGATGGGGGCAGACTCCTCCTCCGTCAACCGGTACCACTCTTTCTGGGGGCTGGGCAGCCACTCCTCCACCCGACATGAGTAATTACCGGTGTCCTGGGGGCTTGCCTGCAGCACCGTGAGCCGGTAGAGCAGTGGGGAGACCCTCTGGAAGCGAAGCCTTCCTTCCCAGGGGCCGCCCTCTGGGCCAAAGACGGCATCTGGGCCCACACTCAGCAGGGCTGTCCGATCTGTTGGGTCTTCCTCCTCTTCCTCCCCCTCTTCTTCCTCTTCTTCCAGGCCAGGGCTGACTCCTTTCCCTCCAGCTTTAGTCCTCAGGGAATACCAGACCACAGCAAAGCGGGAGTCCTGGCTCGAGCGAGACACAATGCTGCAGTCCAGCTGGAAAGCTGCCTTCTCGGTCACCGTGGCATTGGGGACAACTGTGTCCACCTGCAGGGCGGCATCTGGGAACAGCCAGGGACATGGAAAAGGCTGTTTAATTTCTTTTCTCAAGGCAATGTGTCTATCAATAAATACATTATAATGATACCCACACAATGGAATACCAGACATCTACAAACATGGGTCAACGGCAGAATTCTCGCCTTCAGTGAAGGAGACTCAGGTTGGATTCCTAGACAGTGCACCTCAGGCAGACTCATCACCTCTGTGTCAGTGGAAGCTTTCATGCTTCTATGAAGCTCAAGAGATTTTAGTGGAGTTTCCAGAACAAAAATTCCTGGCCTGGCACTCTACCTCTGAAAACCCTATGGAAATGGTCCAGTACACCAGTGAGGATGTGGGTGTGATGGGGCAGGGAAAGGTTTCATTCTCTCTTGCATGTTGTCATGATTTGGGGGTGCTTCAAAGAGAGCTAACCAGAATATGAGAAAGAGTGAGGCTGTACAACATGTGGAAAGACAGTCAAGAAAATGTGTTAGAGCATGGAACACGGAGTATTTTGTGTCACTGTCAGATGCAGGGGAAAAAAAATACATAATTTTGTCCCCCCCCCATATTTATATTTTCATAGAGTGTCTGCAGAAAAACATAAAAAAAAGCTGGTAATGGAGCAGCTTAAGTGGTTCTGGGGAGGAAGGAATACATATAGTCACTGTATGCCCTTTGTAACAGCTAACATTTAACTGTGTACTCACGGATTGCTGCCCAAGGCAGACTGAATGCCAAGGAGATAAATACTATCTCCAGGGAGCTCAGTCAGTAATGAGCCTTCAGGGACCCTTCCTTAGAGCTGGGACCTCTCAGGAGGATGTGGCATGGACCTCAGTGGAGAGTGTCACAGGTGACCAGGGACATAAGAGTTGCAGATGGAGATCCACCATGTGAGGCACCTTGCAGAGGGGATGCCATCTCCACCTGTGTCAACCCTTTTCACTCCTTCTCTCTTACACACACATACACACACACATACACACACACACACACCCCACCACCACCACCACCTGATAAATCATTTTTTTGTTTTGCTTACTGTGAAGTTTATAAACAATTCACTCCCTAACTCCTCAGAGGCCTTCCCTTTCACTCTCTTTATAAAATTTTCCTGAAAGATGCTAATTTCCTTCAACAAAAATCAGGGAATTAAATCAGTCTATTTGGATGAAAATTCAACAGGGGCATTTCCCAAGCTCCATCTTGGGTCAAACTGGCATGCACGGTGCATGTGTGGGGCTCTTTCCAGCCTCTCTGAGCCCCCATACCCTGTCTGGAATCTCACTATACAATGCCATCAATCTACAAGCGGCGAGCACAGCATCAGCCCAACTCTCACACAGAGAACATGCTAGAGAACAGCAGGGTAGGGAAGATGAATTTGGTTCACAGGGGTCTTCACTACTCCCTCATCCATCACCAACCTTCCACAGAGCACTGTGATGCATCACCCCTATAACCATCAGAGAGCTCCGCAGCAGACTGGGGGTGGTCTAGGGTGCTTCTGTCTCTAAGGCTCCTGGAAACTATTTAATGCATCAGAGATGGTGGCTCTGGGTGATGGGACAAGATACAACCCATTAAGGCAAAGTGGCAAAATGGTCAGAGACCTCATCAGACACTCCATTACCCTAGATGAGCTCCCTCTGCTTCTCTCCCCTTTTCTCATATTCTCTTCTAACCACTTAAGTTTGTCTCTGGCTTCTAGAAATGCCTTGTCAGCATTAATGGCTCAATTAAACCTTTTAAAATGAACTAAATTTCCACCACCTCACAACCTCCCTGTGTGTCCTCAACACACTTGTCTACCGACTTGCTTCCCTGTTTCAGTTCAGACTGTAATACCCATTCCCAGGCTCGAGTCACAAAAAGGAGTTCCTGCCTACACACTCTGCTAACAGCTCCATAGTTACTACCAAGACCACAACTCCCGGTCTGTGTGTGATGAATGTAGCGGTCTCTCTTTCCCAGCTGTCTGAGCAAAGCTTAAATGTATTCAGCTGCCACTTGCTGAAGGAAGGAGAAAAACACCTTACATAGTAAATGGTCTTCTTTATTCAACAGAAGGGGATTATGTTCTTAACAGGACTCTCTAGTATTTCATGTCCTTTCTATGTTCACTTTCTACCTCAGGGAGTGGGGGAAAATATTTAAAAGCACATCAAAATAATGAATATCATATTACCAAGAACCATTTAATAAAACAAGTAAAATTTTGTGGCCATTGAGTCTGTTGTGACCTTACAGGACAGAGGAGAACTGCCCCACAGGACTTTCAAAGCTGTTATATTTTGGAAAGTGGACTGCCACCTCCTTTTTCCACAGAGCAATTGATACGTTTGAACCAGCAACTTTATTGTTAGTAGCTGCGAACTTAACCACTATGCCATCAGAGGTCCTTCCCTGTAAAAATGGTGGCTATGGAACAATTTAAATGATATGGGTAAACACTCACAAAGTGTTGAGCAGGAGGTAAATCACATAAACGCAAACCATTTAACAACATCAAAAAGAACGCAACAAAATGATAGCAATAAAGCCTTGCCTTTCAATAAATACACTGAATGTGAACGGTTTAAATGCATCACTGAAGAAAAAAAGAGCAGCAGATTGGATAAAAACTCAAGATCCATTAATATGTTGTCTACACCTGAAAAATGAAAATTGTTGTTGTTGTTATGTGCCGTTGAGTCGCTTGCAACTCATAGCAAAGATAAACACTAAAAATAAAAGGGTGGGAAAAAAATTTAACAAGCAAATGAAAAAAACAGGAGTAGCGATATTAATCTCTGATAAAATAAATTTCAATGAAAAACCATCACGAAGGACAAGGAAGGTCACTACATAATTCTTAAACGGTCAATAGAACAAGAGGACATAACAATAATAAATATGTACCAAATGAAAGACCTGCAAAATATATAAAACAAACATTAACAAAACTGAAAAAGGAAATAGACAACACTATTATAGGAGTTGGAGACTTCAATACACCACTCTCAAGAAAAGTTAGAATTACCAGAAAGAAACTCAACAAAGATGCTAAAGAATTAAACCACAAAATAAACCAACTCGATTTCATAGATGTTTATAAGCTAATGCACCCACAAAAAGCACAGTATACCTTCTTCTCCAATGTGCATGAAATGTTTTCTAGAACAGATTACATTTTAGGTCACAAGGCAAGCATCAGTAAATTTAAAAACAGAAATAATACAAAGCATCTTCTCAGACCACAATGGTACAAAATAGAAATGGATAACAGAGAAAAAAACCATACATTTGGAAGCTGAACAAGCACCATGCTTGGACATGAATGGGTACTAGAAGAAATAAAAAATGAAATTAAAAAGTTTCTTGAAACAAATGACAATGAAAACACCACTACTAAAACCTCTGGGAAACAGCCAAAGCAGTAATTAGAGGTCAATTTATAGCAATAAGCAAACACATCAAAAGGCAGGAAAAAATGACCACTGACTCGGTAACCCAACATCTCCAACAAATTGAAAAAGAACAGCAAGAAAACCCCCAAGCCCTCTAAAAACCCTGAAATTATAAAAATTAGAGCAGAAATAAATAAAATAGAAAACCAAAAAACAATTCAAACAATCAACAGAACTAGGAATTGGTTCTTTGAAAAGGTCAATAAAATTGACAAACCACTAGCAAAACTAACAAAAGAAAAGAAGGAAAAGAAACAAACAATCCGAATTAGAGATGCAATGGACAACGTCACAACAGAACCAACTAAACTAAAAAGGCTAACCATGGCTGTTGTTATGGACCATCGAGTCACCTGCAACTCATAGCGACCCTATGTACAACACCCCTAAACTCTGCTCTGCCCTGTGCCAATTGCACTGTCTCTGACACACCCATCCCAATTACCCCAGTCACTGAATCAATCCTCCTCATAGAGAGCCTTCCCCTCCTGCACTGTCCCTCCACTGTCCCAAGCACGATGTCCTTCTCCAAGGACTGGTCTCTCCTTACAACATGTCCAAAGTATGTTAGACAGAGCCTCAGAATCCTTGCCTCCAAGGAGCCACTCGGTTTAACCCTTTCCAGGATGAATCTGTTTGTTTTCCTCGCAGCCCACGGTACTCTCAATACTCTTATCCAGGGCCACAGCTCAAAGGCATCAATTCTCCTTCTATCTTCCTTGGTCCAACTCTCTGATGCATAACAAATGATTGCAAAGACCATGGCCTGTATCAGATGCACCTTAGTCTCCAGAGAGACACCACTGCTCTTCAGTACTTTGGAGAGGTCCCTAACAGCAGATTTTCTCACGGCAACATGCCTTTTAATTTCCTGGCTACTGGTGCCAAGAGTGTTGACTGTGGAGCCAAGCAAACTGAAGCTGTGAACAATCTCAATCTCTTCACTATCCATCCTGATGCTGCCAATTGGCCCGTGGTGAGAATCTTTGTCTTCTTGACATTGAACCTCAATCCATATTGTAGGTTGCAGTCCTTGACCCTCTGCAGCAGGTGCTTCAGGTCCTCTTCAGTTTCAGCAAGCAGAGTTGTGTCATCTGCATAATGCAGATTGTTGATAAATCGTCCACCAATCTTGACTCCACATTTCTCCTCATAGAGCCCAGCCTTCCGGATAATCTGTTCTGCATACAGGTTGAAAAGGTATGGAGATAGGACGCATCCCTGGCGTATACCCATCTCAATTTTGAACCATGCAGTGTTCCCTTGCTCTGTTCTGACGACTGCCTCCTGGTCCAAGTATACGTTTCTCATTAGCATGATCAAGTGTTCTGGTATTCCCACTCTTCTCAGAATCAGCCACAGTTTGTTATGATCCACACAGTCAAATGCCTTTGCATAGTCAATGAAACACAGATAGACATTCCTCTGGTATTCCCCGCTTTCAGCTAAGATCCATCTAACATCAGCTACAATATCCCTAGTACCATGACTCCTTCTAAACCCAGACTGGACATCTGGCAGTTCTCTGCTGATGTGCTGTTCCAGTCATTTTTGGATAATCTTCA